GCAGTGATGTTTTGGAATGAGTTCCCAAACCTGTAATTAGCTTTGAATGGTAAGAATGGGGGCTTTGGGGCCAGCCAAATAGCTCAACGGATTAAAGTGCCTGCAAGCAGGCTCAGGGGTCAGGGTTCGATTCCTGGGCCTGCCATGCTGGCCCCGCTCCTGGGGGCACTCTGAGTCTGCAAATGAGAGTGGGCGTGGCAGTGCTTGTCTGTAATCCCAGCTCTTTGGAGGCTGTAAAAAGGAGGATCGCTACAAGTCTGATCTAGTAGTGAGACCCTGGACACCCTGTAGACCCTTCCCTAAACTAAAAAAAAAAAAAAGAATAGGGCCTTGAAAAAAATGAAAAGTGTGTTATGTGTTTATAGGTGTGTATATGTTATATGCACACATATACACATATACTTTTATACCTAGATTTTACTTTTCAAAAAGTTTTAGATTTACAGAAACATTGAAAAGATAATATAAAGTTCACATATCTCACAAATAATTTCCCTATTATTTTTTATTTTTTAACTTAATTTTATTTATTTTGGTGGAACTGGGGATTGAACTCAGGCCCTTGTGCTTGCCAGGCAAGTGCTTATTCACTGAGCCATCTCCATGGCCCTTTTTTATTTTTTAAAATGTGTTTGGTTCATTTCTGACGATTAAGGCAATCACTTGGTAATGGGAATGGCTTTACAGGGTCCTTTGAGATGCCCCAGAATCCTAACTTCTAGGATATAATTAGTGTCTTTTGAGGAATAACCTGATAAAGTGAAGCAGAATTCTCTGCTCATTCTCTAACTCCTGCTCCTGGATAAGTGTTCTCCTTTTCTGAGTGTGATGATAAATGTCATTGGATAAGTCATACTGGTACTCACATCCCAAGAAACGTAAGCACAGATCATATTTTGAGGACCTGAAAATATTTGTAAGCCTCTCTGATGCATATTTGCTTGATAAACTTTAACTAATGAAATCATCTTAGTTTCTTTTTCACATGTAATAAATATTATGTGAAATTAAAAAAAAAGATAAATGTATGTGGTACAGGATCTCACTAGGCAGCTCGGACTTGTAGTGATTCTCCTGTTTTTAGCCTCCCCACAGCTGGAATTACAGGCATAAGCCACCACACCTGGCTTATGTGGCTGGCTCAGCCCGCTGGGGAGCGGGACCAGTGTGTCATGTGGTGCCAGGGATCGAACCCTGGTCCCTGTACTTGCCTAAGCTGGCATTTAGTCCACTGAACTATCTCACCAATCCAATTTCCCTCTTATTATCTTACATGAGTATAGTTTTACCTTTTTTTCCCTTCCGGTTCCAGGATCCTACTCACCTACCCCATTACATTTAGCCGTCATATCTCCTTAGGCTTCTTTTTTCTGGAACATTTTCTTAGACTTTCCTTGCTTTTGATGATCTTGAGCTGGGTGTGATGATTTTTTTTTATTAGATAAATCTTTTTATTTTTTATTTTTATTTTTTAATAATTTTATTGAGAAACAAATAGCAAGGAGACAGTTTCAAAACTGATTGGTAGGACAGTTTCAATAATTAATACATTGCATATTGTTGTCTTCTTAGTGGTTATTCATAGTACAAGAGGCAGATATAATATCCTGTCCATAAACACTATTAGTAAAAATATTTCTATTTATTGAATTAAGAGAAAGTAGCTGTATATCTATACTAACTATTTTGAATATACAGATACAAAATGATCCTTTTGTATCCCCTTTTTTGTTTAGTTTTGTCAGAGATGGGTATTCCACTTAGATAAATCTTTACACAATAACTATACCATTGTTGTAGATTCCTATAGCTAAAGTATGAGAACCACTTAACTAAATACATTTATTTATTTATTTATTTTGTCTTTGTGAAGAATTTATTTTTTTTAATTTTTTTTTCCCATAGTGTGATGATTTTTGAGGAGTACTGGTCAGGTAGTACTTGTAGGATAGCTGTGGTAGAGATTGTGTAGCTAATTTTCTTACAATTAGACTGACTTTATAGGTTTTGAAGAGGAAAATCATGGAAGTAAAATACCATTTTCATCACATGGTATCAAATGTACGTGTAGTAGTATCGACATGATATATTACTGCTGATACTGATCTCTCTAGGTCAGCCAGGGAACTATGTATGTGAGATATATAGGTCGACCATTGCAACATGTTTGGCATAGACTTTACGAGAATAGAATTTCTTCCATTGCCCATAGTTCAGGGCTATTTTGATTTTTAATTTTAATTTAATTTTATTTTTGAGACAGGGTCTCACTAGGCAGGTGGGGCTGGCCCTGAGCTCACCTTTTTAGCCTCCAGGCTGGTCTTGAACCCATAGTGATCTCCTGTCTCAACCTCCTGAGTGCTGGGATTACAGGCATGCTTTCTTTTTCTTTGAGACAGGATCTTGTATCTCAGTGGGATCCTCCTGCCTTAGCTTCTGGAGTGGTGAAATTACTGATGTGTGCCACAACAACCAGCTCTAAAAATTTCTTGTTTTGAAAGTTTGAACTTGCTCAATGAGTGCCTGTAATCCCAGCACTTGGGAGGCTGAGGCAGGAGGATCACTGGGAGTTCCAGGCCAGCCTGAACTGCATAGTGAGACCTTATCTCAAAAAACGCCAAAAAAGCAAAACAAACAAACACCCCCAAAACAAGAAAGTTTGATCCTTCCTCAGAAGTTATCCCGGATTTCTCTTAACTAATTTATATCCTTTGACCTAGTCTTTCTTCAATCTTTTATTTTATTTTTTGAAATTTATGTATTTGGAAAAAAAGTTTATGTATTTGGTAGAGAGTCTCAATTTGCAGCTCAGACCCAAAGTGATCCTCCTGTTTCCAGCCTCCCTAGTACTGGGATTACAGGCATGCGCTTGGCCTGCTCACTGCGCCTCGGGGTGGGGCCAGTGTGGCATGTGGTACCAGGGGCTGAACCTGGGTCATTGAGCTTGCCAGGTAGGGGCTTAGACCACCAAGCTATCTCCTCAGCCCCTGTCCCTAGTCTTCTACTCACCACCATCAGATCTGTGTGTGTGTGTGTGTGTGTGTGTGTGTGTGTGTGTGTGTAGGAGATACTTCAAGGTCTACTAGTGGAGTTACAAACATTCTGCTAGGGGCTGGGGATATAGTTCAGTAGAATAAGTGCTTGCCTGGCAAGTGCAGGATCCTGAGTTCAATCCCTGGTACTGCAAAACAAATAAGAAATCAAAAACAAACATTCTGCTAGATCCTCATAGTGTTAAGCCATTTAACTGGGAAGC